ACACTGACTGCCATCACAAGCATACAAGAATTTAATCTGCTCTGCGTGCTACCCAGTTCAGATGCTTATCCGAGTGCTTGGTTAACATGAACTCTCTCTACAGTCCAGATTATTACCCTGATTTCCTTCTGGCAGTCAGGGGTAGGAGGAGCTACAGAAATAATCTGGGCCACAGCTCCTATAGGGAGGGATATAGCCCAAAGACTCACATTAAAAATCAGGTTATTTGGCGGGCACCTGGGGGGCTCAGTCAGTTAAGCATCCGACTCGATTTCGGCTCAGGTCGTGCTCTCGAGCCTGCTTGGGATTCTCTCTCCCTGTACTGCTCCCCCTCATGCTCTCACTCTCCAAAAAAACCAAAACAAACAACAAAAAAATCAGGTTATATGGCACAAAAATTTCCAAATACAAACACAGAGGTTCAAAGTACTGTGTAGGTTGGGACTATATAACCACCAACCCCCAGGAGAAAAACAACAAGGAATCCACATAAGCTGAAATTACTAAAACCATTTGTGTCTCTAACTATACTATTCAAAATACCACAAAGACAAGTATTCTCTGATCCTGTCTCTTCCAGGAAAACGAATGTCCCATACCCCTAGGACAAAACACATTGCACCTCACAAGCTCAAAAAGGCCAACAGGTCAAGATTACAGGAACAAGTCAAGCTATCAGGCAAGAGCTATAAAACACTGCCAGGGCAATGATTTACCCCATCTCCCCCCTTCAAATGCCTACAACAGCCAAAAAAAAAGGAACCAGATTTGGAAGAAGCTCATAAAATCTGAGTCCCCATCGAGCTCACCAGTAGTTACCCAAATGGAGAAGATAACAGGCTACGGGGGCGGGGTGTTCAGTTTCCATGACAACAAGCTGGCTCGGGCAGTTTCTCCCACAAATCAGCATTTACAACAGAATTCTTAGCAAGGCTTAAAAGGGAGGAGAAAACACATCCTGGTGCCCCCACAAGGGCATGTGCACACTGAACAAGCCTGTATCAAAAGCAGAACCGGCCATGGGTGTCTCAGCAAAAGCTGGGGGGGGGGGGGGGCCCAGGGAACGACGACACAGGCACTGTTCTCTTTTTCTCCTCCCACAGAGGATCAGTTCTCTTTACAATGAAACAGAAGTTTGCAGAAGGGCGCTCAGTCGGTTGGGCGGCTGCCTTCGGCTCAGGTCATGATCCTGGAGTCCCGGGATCGAGTCCCGCATCGGGCTCCCTGCTCGGCGGGGAGTCTGCTTCTCCCTCTGACCCTCCCCCCCTCATGCTCTCTCTATCTCATTCTCTCTCAAATAAATAAATAAATAAAATCTTTAAAAAAAAAAAAGATCCATCACTATGTCTAAGGGAATAAGGAAAGACTTTTCTTTCAAGCCAGAACCTATGTACAGCACCTGTCTCTTCCAGATCAATCAAGTCCTGAAAGACACTGGGTGGGACTAACTTCTGCAAACCAGAATGGGAAAATTAAACTTTATGCTATTCCAATTACCCTAGGGTTGGCATGTCCAGATATGGTTTTGAACTTTCAGCCCATCCACCTCTGCCCCGCCTAGAGGATACACTCTGAGGTCTTTCCTTTAGGTAATAATAGGATTCTCCATTGTCCAGGAAGCAAAGATCCCAAGGGAGGAGGAGGGACACAGCAGCGATTTGTTCACATTAGAAGATGGCTGATCACAGCTTTAGCTAGGAAACGAGTTTGGCTTAAATGCTACCATCCTCCTTACGGAAGAGAGTCCCCAAGCACACTACACACCTCAAGGCAACGAAGTGACAGGGCACTCCCTGGTGCTTGGAGGCAGATCAGGGCCAAGGACGGAAGGGGATTAACCTAAATCTGGCATTCTGCCACTCTGGGGTTTCTCTTTTTAGAAAAGAGCCACAGATGAAATTCAAAGGAAACCAGTAACGGAAAATAGTTAAAGAGTGAGCTTGGGAGTAAAGGGCTGCTCAGGTTCACAAACATATCTAGGAGGCAAGCTGGAGGGAAGGGAGTAGAGCTCCATGCCCCAGAGCAAACAAAGGTGGAGTCTAAGCTGAGGCACTCAGAGCCAAGGGCTATTTGCCTCTCCCCTGAGTGTGTGCTCTAATGTGAAGGAGAAAGGTAATCAGCAGGAGAGGAAATCTAAACCAAAGAAAGGTAGTAGAGGCTGTTGTGTAGTCCACCAGACCCCACAAACAGGAAAGCCACACAACAGTCAGGCATTCGAACTCCGCCAGAGACGAGGAATTGGGTATAAAGCCAGAATCAAAACTGCTGTTTTAAAGCCCACTCACTTCTTCAATCATATGCCTCTATTTTTTAGAACAGGAAAAAAAAAAAAGAGAGAGAGAGAGAGGGAATACCAGGATAAGTTAGGAGAGAGATATTAAAAAGAGGTAAGATGAACTATATACTTAAAAATGGCTAAAATAGTAAGTTTTATGTTATGTGTATTGCTACTACCACCAAAAAACAGGTAAGGAAAAAGACTGCATTCGAATATTATGTTTATGCCCCCTGTTTAAGTTCAGCAAGAACTGCAAAGGAGATTCAAAATCAAAAGTATACTTGACACGGTGCTACGATGGAAAAGGTCAATCTCCCTGCTGAAAGCAGAAAAGATGGATCCCAGAATAACTCCAGACTCAGCTTTGGATTCTTCCACCTTCCCAACAAAGAGTGAATGTTCACACAAAGCAACCAGAAAAATAATTAAGTGACAATCCCACTGACCACACGAGATACCATCAGGGAGTGCTGAGTTTCTAGCTGCAGAGGAGGGAGGAGCCTGCAAAACCCATTCCAGAAAACCCTAAGCGGTTAACAGGTAGCCCAAGCACCCCTCCCTCCCCAGGGGTGTCTCCTCCTCAGGAGTTCAAAGTGGGCCAGAGGAAAAAGTCAAACAATTAAGCTCCCTCAAGCTGGGGAGTAGAAGGAAGACACTGGTTTCATCAAGATTTAACTATCACCCTACTTCCCCATCTGAACTTCCTCACTAGACTTCAACTCAGTATGCAAATTTTCAGGCTCTGAGAAAGGATCAGCTTAAGAAACATCTGAAGCTGCTCACTCTGCTGCCTATCACCCCAGAGTCACCTAGGAAGAGTGAGGGGAAAAGGAGACAAATTTTCCTGCAAACCCTGGGGGGGAGGGAGGAGGGAGGGCGGAGACTGGGCATCATCCACTCTAGAAGTATTCCTTGGATGCCCATACTTGAATGTTGAGCCCAAGACTGCAGTTCAACACATGGCTACTTCTTTAAAAGCCGTCCCGCCTTCCTCTTTAAGGGGATCTAGTCTCAAGAACAAAGAGATGAAAAAGTGTCCCTAGTCATAAAGAGTCACTCAGCCAGTCCAACTCACTTGAATTGATAATTAGACGTCACCAGCATAATGAATAGGGGAAAAACCCCCTGAGAAAAAGGTGACCGAGGAAGACAAACCCCCAGCATTTCCATGCCCAGTTATAAAAAAAAAAAAAAGAGTACTCTAACAATTTTTATGTATTAACTTGGTGGGCAACTGCCAAAACAATAATTCTCCCCACTCCCCAGAGGAACAGTAAAAAAAAAAAAAAAAAAAAAAAATTAACCAAGGAAAAGAAAAAAGAATACCAATAAACCACCAAAGTTCTTCATTGAGTCTTCAAATTTGAGCAACAGTTACTTTTCTTTCCAGCCTCAAGATCCTCCAAAACCAAAGCGTGAAGTCAGGAGGTCATCCCCACCCGCTAGACCGCACCCTACACCCTGGAAAAGCTTATGGCTTACTAAAACTAGAGAACCACTTCTAAACAGAAAGCAGTTTCAAGAATCACCATTCATTCCACCAACATTCTATGTTCCAACTTTCTGTTGCACAAATACTGATCTTTAAAAAAAAAAAAAAAAATCGGGACAGCAACAGAGTCACATCACTAGAGGCCCCTTGGAACTCATTATTTTGTCTGCATCAACCACACTGCCGGGGTCAACCAGAAACCTTGACAGAAACTGGCAATCCATCCGATTCTCGGCCACACAAACTGGCTTATCAGCTGTGCTTGGAAGAAGTGTTCTTAACCGGCTCAGTTTGCACTGATTACACTTCGGCAATAAAGGCCTCAGTCTGGCAGAAGTCCCTGCCTTTCAGGTCATCACGGGTAGGGCCAGGCAAGCTTTGCGGGCTCGTACATTTGCACTAACGTAGCGAGTGAGGCACCAACTCCTCCTCCGCTCCTTCACGTCGACTGAGAGAGTGGGTTTAGCAGTTGCCCCCATAAGAGGAAAGAGCCCAGGCCGGAGGATGGGAGGCGGTGCCGTGGCCTCAACCTCCTCCAGGGAGGGCACTGCGCTTCCTCTCCGCCGATTGCTGCCTCATTTCCTGAGCAGGAGGGAGCGGAAAAGCTGCCAGCAGGCCAGGCCGGGGGCTTTCCGGCGGCTCCCACCCCCAACCCCCACCCTCGCACAGTAAGTCTGGCCCTGCCCCTCCCAGACCAGAGAAGCACCCACCTACTCTCACCCTTTGGGCCGGAAACCTCTAACGAGAGCAAATTCCGCACCCCTCCCCGCCCTTCCCGGAGGAGTGGGGGAGGGAGAGGCCGCTGAGCCCCTCCCCCGGCCGCGCCTGGCTCGCACGGACTGAATGAATGAGCTGAGAGAGAGAAAGAGGAAAAACCATTTCCCGGGCCCCGAGAGGCTCAGCTCCCTCAAAGGTCAAGCCCGCTCACCCAAGCACCCAGTTCCCCCCTCGTCCGCCTCAGGTCCAACTGCGGCTGAGCCCCACCCATCCTCCCGGCTCCAGCTTCATCCCCGAGTCCGCCGGCGCCGGAGAACCGCGCTCCGCAGCGAAGCGAGGGCCCCCATGCGGGGTTCCAGCCGCTGCAGCGCCTGCTCTCCCTCACGCGCCTCGCCCTCTCCGTACCTGCTCCCGGGCCCGCCTTTCCCCTTCCACTTCCCGCTGCAGGCGCTCGGCCCTCTCCTCTGCGTCATCGGCTTGCTGCTGCAGAACCTGGATCTTGCGCTTCACCGCCTCGATGGTGGTGATCCCGGCCATGGTGCCCACCCAGCCCCTGCTCGCGCTTGGCTTCCTGCCTCCTCCGCTCGGCGCCGCAGCCGCTTCTCACCCCCACTTCCGCCTGCTCCGCCCTGAAATACCGGAACTCGCCCACCCGCCCGGATGTGACGTCACCGCCGCGCCCTGCCGCGCCGGGCCACAGGACGACAGCCCGCCGCGCGAGCGCGGGGCGGGGCCTGCCCCTGACCAGCAAAGGGGGGCGGGGCTGCGTCGGAGACGGGCTACCATGGCAACCGGGAGGAGCGTCGCGGTCCGGCTCCTCAGGCCCGGCGGGCTGCCCTCCCCTCCGCCCGCCCACCCGCCGCCACCCACCCGTCGGGGCACCTTGTGTCGTCCCGCACTGAGCACCCGACGCGCCTCTGCTGCCACCCACCGCACACAGGCTCCAAACCCAGGTGCCGGGACAGGCCGAGGCTTTCTGGGCCCCATCCTCCTAAGTGCCCCACTCTGCAGCCTCCTTTCCAGGTCGGCCCGGGTAGGTTCTCTCCCACCGCCTGAAAGTCAATGAAGGGGATTACGGGGGTGGGAGAAAAGGCCAGGCGCGCAGACTGCTCCTTCCATTTGGCATCAGTTTTGAACTCAGTGTTCTATTTCAATTACAGGGCTGGTCTTTTCCTTGGCGCTTTCGAGAGTCAGGATGTGCCAGCGGTTTACCAACCTGCCAGCCCTTCCGAACCTTAAGTCGTTCGGGTCTTGGTAATTAATCATCGCTGACATTTCTCTTTGCAGGTGAGAAAGGTATGCCCCCATTTTATCAGGAAGGAACCCTCTATTACGGATCACTGTTATCGGACCCCTTCGTGCCACAGCCCCATGAGAGCCTCTATTCTGTGGTAACTTCCCCCAGTTTCATTGCCACTTCTGCTTTGAGGTGCCCTAAAGAGCTGCTTATGAGTTAGAAACTGCCTCTGCAGGCACTGCCCTGCAGGACTTTTGGAAGCACAATAGTAAAGAGACTTGAAAATTGTACCATCTTCTCTCCTGTTTGTTTGCACTCCCCCTGCCTTCCCCGTAAGCCATCATAGCAAATGTCCCCTCTTTTCCCCTCAGAATTATGGTGTGGAGCAAGACTTAGAATTAGGAATCCTGACACCTGAAAGGGCTGATAGGTAAGACAGGTGCTGCCCTCAATACCTGGTTCTGAGGACATTCCCTCCAGAGGCTCTGTCTTCCCATCTCCTTTTAAAAATACTGAGCAAATGTGGAGGTGTGGGGCAACCAGAGATAAGGGGACAAATCGGACCACGCTGCCCTAGGCATTCTTTGATAATCACCTGTGACCAACAAAGAATAACCAGCCCCTAAAAAGGAATTAAGCCATTGAACGTGTTATCAATAGAGATGTTAAAAGAATTTAAGTTTCCTGGTTAGCTTTCTATAAAAGACCAACCCTAAAGACCCTCATTGGCAACCCTGTCCCAACAGACCTCTCTCACTCTTGAGAGCTTTTTCTGTATCTTCACTTAATAAACTTCTTACTAGGGGCGCCTGGGTGGCTCAGTCGTTAAGCGTCTGCCTTCAGCTCAGGTCATCATCCCTGGGATCCCGGGATCGAGCCCCGCATCGGGCTCCCTGCTCCGCGGGAAGCCTGCTCCTCCCTCTCCCCCTCCCCCTGCTTGTGTTCCCTCTCTTGCTGTGTCTCTCTGTCAAATAAATAAAATCTTTAAAAAATAAATAAATAAATAAACTTCTTACTAAATATATAAATAATAAAAAAAATAGGGGCGCCGGGGTGGCTCAGTTGGTTAAGTGTCTGCCTTCGGCTCAGGTCATGATCCCAGCTTCCTGGGATCCAGCCCTGCGTCGAGTTTCCGGGAGCTTGTTTCTCCCTCTCCTGCTCCCCCTGCTTATGCTTTCTCTCTCTCTCTCTGTCAAATAAATAAATAAAATATTTTTTAAAATAAATAAATAAAAAGTAAAAATAAAAAATACTGAGCAATGAGCCTATTTAGAAGAAACAACTCAGACAGTAAATAATTTGCTTGGTAGAGTAACCTGTACACTGGTTTCTCCCCTCCCCCCCAGGAATTTGGAAGGAAGAACAGGGTTCTGAACCTCGATAAACTCTACCCTGATGGCTTAAGAATTTTTCCAACTCTTTTTGGAGAAATTTGATCAGAGAGAGGATGGAAGCAGAAATGAGACGTTGTCATCTGGGTGCAGATCAGCAGGGGGCACTGTTTACCTCCCTTTGTCCTAGTGAATCTGCACGAGACCTTCTCTTGGGCAAACCCAAGGCTGCTGAGAGCACCACTGCATTCCTGAGGCTGGTTGATGTGGACAGATAATCTTCTCTTGATCCAGGGAAACAGGTGGATTGACTCCTGATACCCTTTAAAGGCATAATGGATGGGCAGCAAGGGGCCCAGTGCTATTGTTTTCCTGGTGACCAACAATACAGTGTATCAGCAGGTGCATATGTCCATCCCCAATTCTCATCTCCCAGCCCTACCACGTCTGGTATGACTGTGTTCTAACCATTGCACTCCTCTTTCGCCTTGTTTTACCCTAATTAGCTTCTGACTTCACCTCGGATTGAGAGGACCTTAGACATCATTGTACAACACTGTGCGTGTTCTTACTGCCCCTGAACTGTACACTTAAAAATAGTTAAAATGGGTCTGCCTTCAGCTCAGGTGATGATCCCAGGGTCCTGGGATCAAGTCCCGCATCAGGGTCCCTGCTCGGCGGGAAGCCTGCTTCTCCCTCTGCTTCTCTCTCTCTCTCTCACGAATAAATAAATAAAATCTTTAAAAAAAAAAAAGGTTAAAATGGCAAATGTTACACAGATATTTTGTTGCAATTCTTTTAAAAAAGGACCTCAGGCAAATTCAGGGAGGAAAAACCGAAGTTTGGACTGACCTTGCCATATTCTTGCCCTTTCTTTGTTCAAGCAATCCAGCAAATCCTGTGCTTTCCAGAAAAGCTTCTCAGATAACCAGAACTCCCTGTGTAAACATGCGCTTACCGACTCCCTCTCCTCCTCTCTTCCTTTTGCATCAAAGTAATATGCTCTGTTTGTTCATCTCAAAGGTGGAAGCTGCTGTGAACTTCATTGGACATTGTACTGGACAGAGTGCCCTTCCCCCCAAAATACATATATCATGTTGCTGATGACTCTGACCCTTGCTCTTGACTTTAAACTTTGTTGTCTCCTCCTTATTCAGCACTTTTCCCAATTCCTATAAACACTTCACTTTCCTTCTTTGATCCTTTGAGGCAGAAATCATTAAAGAAAAAACATTTTCTGTAAAAGGCCACACAGTACATTTTTCTGGCTTTGCAGACCACAGGGTATGGTGACTACTCCGGTGTAGGAAAAAAGATAAGAAATGATATGTAGGGGCGCCTGGGTGGCTCAGTCGTTAAGCGTCTGCCTTCGGCTCAGGTCATGCTCTCAGGGTCCTGGGATCGAGCCCCCGCATCGGGCTCCCTGCTCCGCGGGAAGCCTGCTTCTCTCTCTCTCACTCCCCCTGCTTGTGTTCCCTCTCTCGCTGTGTCTCTCTCTGTCAAATAAATAAAATCTTTAAAAATAAAGAAATAAAAAAGAAATGATATGTAAGTGAATGCACATGGTGTTGTTCCAATAAAAGTGTACAAGACTAGGCTGTGACAGGATTTACCTTACAAGTGGAAGTTTGCTAGCCCCAGCTTTGAGCAAAGAAACCTTTCTTCCTGCTCTCATCTTAACCCTGCCTAAGGGATTTTGCCTCCTGCTCACAGCCCTTCCCTCCCATTTCTTGTTCTCTAGCACACCTCTGAGGGCACTTAACTAACTTGTAAGGAAAGCTAACAGGGGGAGAGAAGTTAAATGAGTTTTTCTACCCACATATTATATATTGAAATGGGTTTTGGTGGGTTCCTGTAGAAACAGGAGAAACTTCTTTCAAGTGAATATACCGAGTCCACCCTGTCTAGGTGGGGAATGACAGTGTGTTTTAAGTATGTGTGCAACAGCTTAGGACAGATAGAATTCATCCTCAGGAAATTCCCTTATCTTCCGAATAAAACTGAGGTATTATCTAGAGCCTCTGTGTTACTCTCTCCCAAGATCTAAGGTTAGACTTTGTTGTTTTCATTGGTCCTGGACACACCTCCTCCAGCCCACATACTAGCTGTTTTAGCCTGCATAATCTCCCGGAGAGAGAGAAAACTCTTGCCCCAAGAAAACTTGAGAAAACTCCTGCCCCTATACCCGTCTATTGGAGCCAGAGAGATCTGTCCATGTACACCTGGAACCCTGGCCAGCCAATTCCAGCAGGCCATCGAGCATTTGCCCAAAGCTCTGGAGGCAACGTGTGTTCACTGCAGTTTTCCAAGAAGGGAGAACTAATAGTTTGCAGGGACCTAAACTTTTGGAAACTATGAATATGTATAATGTATATGATCTGCTTTATCTCTGACCTTTGGTATGATACATTCAACAACTCTCACCATGTTCCCTGGCCTCTGAAAGTGGCAAAAAGCCAAAGAGGAGATGAGAGACCTAATAACAAAGAGGCCAAATGCGAGGATCTGGAAACACTTGTGAATGGCCCACACTGTCTCTCCAGCTATTTTCCAAAACCAAACGTGATTTTAAAAAATATGTGCTCCTTGGGGGCACCCAGCAGGCTCAGTTGGTGGAGCATGACACTCTTAATCTCAGGGTCATGAATTTAAGCCTCACGTTGGGTGTGGAGCCTACTTAAAATAATTTTAAAAAATATGTGCTCCTATTTTCCTATTAGTGCTAAGAACTGACTATATTTCCATTGACGGCAGGACATTCTTTGGTTGCTGTTATGTCACTTTTCTTCCCAACATCTTTCCTTCGTAGCCTCTCATTTAATCATTGTGCTAAGTTTCAAGTTTGAAGATAAAGGAAAGTAGGTGGTGACAGGACAAACATGAAGTGGAAAAAAGAATTTTATTTCCTGTTCAAATGGGATAATTCAACCCTAACCCTAGAGAAGCTAAGCAATTGAATCAATGCCACAGAGTAAGGTCTGGTGGTGACACTTTTCCCCCACAGGATTCCTTCTTGCTTCTATTACAGTCTATCAGAGAGCCTCTCTGCTGCCCTATGAGCAATGCTTGCTATGGCATCTCCGTGGCATAAGGGCAGACGCCCACATTGGCCCCGATAAATAAACCCATATAGGGCCAGGGTCAATGTGACCTCTTTTGTCCCATTGTGAAATCTGAGCTGGCTCTGCGGGGCAGTTGAGAGATGAGAGTTTCCCTATTAATACACATATCTACGTGCCAAGTCTTGGACACAAAAGCTAAGAATGTGGCATGGGGGAGGAGGTGGGAAAAGTGATAGCAATCTGGACCTGGAGTCCCCTCCCTTTGTTCGGGTCCTGAAAAACACATTAAATTCCTGGGTTGAGGGTGAGACAAACATGAGACTTCTCCATGTGCTTAAGAACAAATGTGCGTGCCATTACAAGAGTATGTCAGCGTGCGATTATACGCAGAAATGTATGTGAGTGTGTCGATGCTCTGTGAACCCACCAGTATGTATGTGTCCAAGTGTGTTTGGAATTTAGTCACATGAACGTGGCGCTCTGCGTGTGTGGATTAAACCCCTTCCATCTCTCTAATACTCACGTCAGCAGCTTTCTTCTCTGCCAACTCCAGTTTCTCCTGAGCATCCTTCAGAGCTTCAGAATACTTGTCCAGCTCATCCTCCGTCCCTTTCAGCTTCTTCTGCATGGCTGCCAGCTCATCTTCCAGCTACCGGAGCCCCAAGAGGCACACACAAGACATACACACAATGGTGCTGGCTCAGACCCTGGGCTCCTGAGCCCTGACCGACCTCTGAGCACAGCCTTGATGTTAACCATTCCTGAAGGGACATACTTTCTCCCGAGCCACTTCCAGCCAACTGCCCCAGGAGTTAGGCCGTGATGTGTGACCCTGGGATCTCTGACCCTAAGATGACCAAGCCATGCTGGATTTTCATCTAAGACCCTGGGATGGGAAATATCTTAGGGAGTGGATGCCTGGAACTCCAATTAAGGCTGGCTCAGTCAGTGGAGCATGTGACTCTTGATGTCAGGGTTGTAAGTTTGAGCCCCACGTTGGATGTGTAGAGATTACTTAAAAATACAATCTTAAGGGCGCCTGGGTGGCTCAGATGGTTAAGCGTCTGCCTTCGGCTCAGGTCATGATCCCAGAGTCCTGGGATCGAGTCCCGCATCAGGCTCCCTGCTCCTTGGGAGCCTGCTTCTCCCTCTGCCTCTCTCTCTCTCTGTCTGTCTCTCATGAATAAATAAAATCTTTTAAAATAAAAAAAAATACAATCTTAAAAAAAATTTTAAGGGAAAAGAGATGCTACCTGCCAAGTTCCCACCTTTTCCTCTAGAACTCTGGTCCTTCCAAAACATGACCCACACCCGTTTAGATCCAGCAGATACACCATGGCTCAGAGGAGGCTACTGGCTTTCCCAAGGTCGTGCAGGCAGCCTGAGGCAAATACCCTAGATGTCCTGTGTCTCTCCAGAGAGGCTGGAAAGAAGCGGGTCCCTCCCACCCAACGAACAAGCTGGTACTGGCAGTCACTGTCTTTGCCGCGAGAACTCTCCTCCATCTCACAGTCTTGCTCACCAGCAGGTAAGAGAAACCGATGCCGGCACCTACCTGCTTGCTCCTCTCCTCTGCCTGCTTCTGCTCAGCTTCCGCTTGCTCTGCTCGGTCCAGGGCATTCTCCTTGTCCAACTTTAGCATCTGCATCTTTTTCTTGATGGCCTCCATCATGAGCGGTGGCTGTTGGTGAGCTGACCTGTGAACACTGGAGCAGTGGAGATGAGGGCAGGAGAGGAGGGGCTGCTGCCCGAATGACTAGGAGTCCCCTAGACTTGAGCCTTTATCTCTGCTCATGGCTCCACCTCTTATTCCTAATACGGTCTTTCCAGCTCCTTCCATCTCATTATTGTTCTCCCTGGGGGAGCACAGGGTGAGACACTTTGATGGACTGACATCACCAGCAAAGAAAAATTAGGGAACAGCTGAGGCTGATTTTAGACAATGGAAAGTGGGGGAGGGTAGAGGTTCTCCCTGACCCTGAAACTTTCCACTCTCGGGGCGGCTCTGTGGGTGTGTTAAAAGAGCAAGGCAAGGGGAGGGGGAGAACACTGAACTAGAGAAGGGTACTTTGGCAACTCCAGATACAGGTGGTTCTCACCCAGAGCGTCCTAGTTATACCCCTGTCTTCCCCATTGCCCTCACCCCCACCTGTGTTGGATGCTGGTCGGATTCCACTGGCTGAGTTTTAACTTTTGATTCCCAGTATTCAGGGAGCTTGAGCAAGGGCGGTCACTCATGGTCCTTGACAATTCCCCCAGATCCCCCGATCAAATTACTGTGCTATTTCAAGAGTCTCTAATTGGCAGGGAGACATCATTCCCTCCCGTTTAGAGCCACAGGGATGGAGCAAGCGGAGAGGGTTGGTATCTGGAAGGCCCTCCCAGAACTTTGAGTGGGGTCAGGGAGAGAAGCAGGGGAGGGTCAGAGTAATCTGGGTAGGATCATGCCTTCCATTTGCCCACAGTGATCTCTAAGTAGAACTTTCGTGCCCACACCAACCAAGCTCTGCACCACTGTCCACTCTTCTTGCTCTCTGCTCCCTCCTTACCCCCACCCAACCTACGGCCACACACGCATTGCCACATCTTCGTTACCATCTCTGTTCTCCCTGGCTTCCTTCCAGGCCATGACATTCCTCCACTCAGAGCCTGTTACTGACAGGTGGCAGTTGATCACAGTGCACCAGCACCATACAATCTGAGAACATGCCAGGGGAGAGGTGGGCACTGTTCAAGGTGACCAGCGCTATCAGAGAAGAATACAAAAAGCTCTAGTCATTACGTCAAGGATAGATAGCTCCTGTGGTACTAAGCCCCAGCAGTGGGTTAACTGAGACACCCACCAGGACAGAGGGCAAAACTGGAGTCCACCCTTGAGAGCTTCCAGTCACTAGAGGTAGACGGGCAGAGAGACCATCAATTGACCCTTGAAGGAAAGCAGAGAAACCAAAGACCCTCACTGCAGGACAAGTGAACAAGGAGGTCCCGGGAACAGGAGTCAGTAGTTAATAAGTGTGGGGGGAGTGTTGATAAGGAGGGAAAAAAGTACAAGGACAGAAGATCAGAGATACATCCCTTCTAGTATAAGGGAAGGGTACGGGGAGATATGATACTCAAATTCCAGCTCTCCCACTGCCACACTAGCTCTGCAGCTTAAGACTGAAATCCACGCAGGTTGCCACCACTGCTTTTCCAGAGGGGTCCCGGAGAGAAGAGTTTCAGTAAAGGAGCCCCAGAGCCCCAGAGTTGATGCCAAATTGCCCACTGCTGTAAGAATATGTTCGATATTTAGTTGGTTCCTAATTCAACAACCCAATATCAAACATATCACACAGAAGCAGGCAGAAGAGCCTCGGTGGTCTTCTGCCTTCCTCCCCTCCAGCCACCAAGCATGGCTAGATGGCAAGCCGTCTCCTTGGGGAAGGACAGTGACCCTTGCTCTTCACCTCCCATGACAGTGCCGTTCGTGCTGTCCCTGTAGCAGCTTCTCTCCTACCAGTGCCTGGCCTTTGCTGGATCACGTTCGCCTGAACCAGGAAGCATATCTGGCAGGGCTCCACATCCGGGCACCTATCCCTTCCAAGGGCTCCCACACAGAGCTTCTCCCCCTGATGTCACGACCACAGTGCCGAGAGCCAGCCTGGCCACCTGCTCTTCTCAACCTCCTTCCCATGCTCTGAGGCTTTCCGACGGCGGGGGACGGGGGCTTGCACATCCTGCTTTACCTTTCTAACAGAACTCCTAACCTTTCAGATCACCCCCAGCAGACTGCTGAGAGCCTTTCAGCTGACACCCTCCTGGACTCCTCCTGCCCTTAAGTATTACAGAGAAGTAGCCATGAGAAACTTCCAGAGTGCTTGGCTGCTTCCTCCCAACATCTTGTTCCTTCTCACCTTCTCCCCATGTCTTCCAGGCATCCATAAAGTCACCCTTGGATGTCTTCTGAAGCCCCTCTGCCAGGAAGCAGCCTGCAGTCCTTAGGGCTCTTCTCTTCTGGGGCTTTTTACACTGAGAACTCCTGGCCTGGCTTCTCTAAGGGTCTTCCCTCACAGGGGTCCAGCCTGGTTCCTTTCTGGGGGATTTTTCTTCTGAAGAGGATTAGGTCTGTTGAATGTCGTATGGCAGGCAGACGCTTCTCTCCACTGCGGCAGAAAAGAGCCCAAGTTATAGCCTCACCGGGCGGGTAGGGGGCTTGGGTACAAGTGCAGGGTGGGAGGAGGGTGCTCGGCTTCAGCCCCAGGCTTGTTCCATGTGTCCTTGTTCCCATTAGTCCGGATTCCCGCCCCCCTGCAACACATATACCAACCCCACAGTGCCCTTGATCTAGATCAATAGTTTGTCCAAAGCCCTAGTCAGTTCCTGTTGTGTGGCCCCTGCCTTCCAGGGGCAGGCTGACAAAAGGGCGTCCAAGCCCCAAGGCTGTTGTCTTATGTCCTTGCTACTTCACGGCTCCTACTGGGGGTGTGTGTGTAAGTTTTGCTTTTGTGACCATCTTTCTTACCCTTATCCCCCACATTTAGTTCCCTTCTCTGGGAACCTTGACTACCCCGGCAAACCAAAGGCTGGGAAACGACGAGCAGGAGTTGAAAGGATGAGGCAGAGACGGAATATTACTGATGCACAAGAGGAGAGGCTTTCTTAGAAGCAGACCTTGACTTCAGGGCATAACTAGGCAGAAACATCGATGGCATCTTATAAACCCTTTCTAGCTCTCCTGGAGTGCCTTCCGTGTAGCCATTTCAAACAAGGCTGAGCCCCTCTGAGCCAGAGGAGATAGGGAGGGCAGCAGCACAGAGGAAGAAGGGGGTGGATGGAACACTCGGCTGATGTGATGAGAGCAGACGGAGCAGGCAGAGGGGATCGGACGAGATGGGCTCCCGAGGGGCCAGCTGCCAATACGGGAGCCAGCCTGGCGCTGACAAGCCCTGGGGAGAGAGGCCAAGGTCAGGGATCAAGGCAGAGGGGCGGGGTGTCCTGTGGGTCCAGTGAACAGAGGAAAGAGGAATGAAGAAGTTGCTGAAGGAATGTGGTGGTGGGGAGCAGCCAGGTAACGGAGGGGAAATAAAGAGGGAAAGAAGTATCCTAGGGCAGGAAAACATCATTATGGTATTGGACATTATGTGCCACCTTTCTGCAGAGTGCTTCATTTAATCCCCAGTGAGGGGAGGCATCATCTCCATTTTATAAACAAGGAACGGTGACCCAGAAAGTTGAGGCAACTCCCCCCAAGCCACTCAGGCAGTAAGTGACAGAGGCAGGATTCAAACCCAGATCTGCTGTTTCTCCGGAGGCCAGGCTCTCCTGGGCAATGGGAGCAGCAGAGCCGGTTGGGACGTGGCCACAGGTGGATGACAGACGTGGAGAGAGGTGGTCGGGGGGAGGGACAGGCCGAGTGGGAGACCCAGCCTCAGGCTGGGGGTCAGACCCAGGCCGCGTGCACCTGCTTCTGTCCCTTATAACACGGTCACCACCCCTTCCTTCCTTCCTTCCTTCCTTCCTTCTTCCTTCCTTCCTTCCTTCCTTCCTTCCTTCTCTTTCTAGAGAGTAGAGGGGAGGGGGAGGGGCAGAAGGAGAGAATCCCAAGCAGACTCCCTGCTGAGGACACAGGGCAAGACCTCACAACCCTGAGATCATGACCTGAGCTGAAATCAGGAGTGTGATGCTCAACCGACTGAGCCACCCAGGTGCCCCTCACCTTCCTTCTGTGTCCACGCTTGCCTCCCCCAACCAGCCCATGAGCCCCATGTCTTGTTGGGTGCAGGGACCTGTGAGTCATTGACTAAAGACTCTTGGGAAGTGGGGCTGATGGAAGCTGGACAACGAATGGACGCACAGGGCAGAGAGGCAGGCGTGGGATGGAGTCATATCTTGGCTGCATAGGGGGTGGCCGGGGGCTGGCGAGGGGCCTGAGAAGGGCCTGGGTCACAGAGAAATCTGAGAGGGGAAAGGGGGATGCCTGCTGTTCCTCAAACACTAGGCCTGCTCTCTACATACCTTATTTAATTCTCACAATGATCCTGTGAGATGGGTATTATTTTCCCCACTTTCAGAAAAGGAAACTGAGGTTCAGAGAAGTAACTTACACAAGGTGACAACAATTAAAGGACGAAACAGGACTTTGAACCCACACCTGACTCCAAAACCCATACCCTTCTCTACACCTGCTGCTTCTTTGTGCCCATCAGTGGGATGTGGAGGGAGAAGAGGAGAGGGCTCTGACATGGGAGGAACGCACCCTGGAGGGTGGGGCCAGACTCGGGGTGGGAGTGGGGCAGGGGGATGTGAGCTGTGCAGTGCGCCAACCGCCCGGAGTGGAGGGCTGGGCAAGGTCAGCGTGGAGAGGACGAGCGGCCAATGAGGGTACCCACAGCAGGGGAGGAAACCGGGAAGTCAGCCTGGTGGCGTCCCCGCACCGCACCCGCTCCTGGCTCCACAACAGGGATCTCTTGGGCTTGGGATCTCATTTTATGGAAAGTGGATCTTTGCAAGTAAGGTTCTCTGTGGACTAGAGACATATGTGATCAATCAGTACTTTTTAGAATTCTTCAGAATCTGAATGCCTTCAGATTTAACATGCTCTCACCAGCTCCCCATAAATCTCAGTGCCCCTCACTTCCTTGGACCTGCTATCTCATCTGCCTTCCCTCCGTGGCACTTCAGTTTGGAGCCCTGTCAATTTGCAGGGCTGGGGAGGGTATGAATTCGGGTCCAGAGGAGAGAGACCTGGCCTGGGTCTCGTAACTGGCTGACCCAAAGCCTGAACTCCAGGCCTCCTGACACCCAAGCACATGGTTCCTGTGGGTGAACAGCCACACTCAGAGCTATTTGTCCAAGACAGAAAAGACGGGAGGAAGTGAGATCTAAGAGGCGGTGAGTAAAACCCAAGAAGCTGTTTTAAGATTATGGCTATGAATAAACACTTCAAAAAAGTCAAGATTTAGGACTGAAGAATGAGCCATCTGTCTACATTTGAGCCTTTCAGAGCCATCTTTGTTTCAGATGCCATCAGAGTCTCTCCACGTGAAAAGCTTTGCCCATCCGATCTAGTTCCTGCTGGTACTGCCGATGCTCCTTTTCAAACAGCCGGTGCAGGGCCGCTTGACGGACCTGGGAGGAGGGCAGGACAGTGTGAGGTTTGCCTTCGGCTTGCCTCCTCCCCCTGGTGGCTTTCCCGCTGTGTCCTCTTGGATTTGGACTTGGCTGTGACATAAAGCTAGGCAGTAGCATAGAGGCTGCCCCTGCAGGGGTGGGAGGGGGATGCCTCCCCACTTTCTCCTCCATGGATGAAGCCCTACGTTCAGCAAATAATTGCTGAGAGCACCATGAACCGTGAGCTCTGCTGGGCCCCCCGGGATACAGACATGATGACATGCCGGGAACTGGGAGTCCTGCGAGAGGGGGGCTGGGGCTGGACGCTGAGATGAGGGGAGCAAGGACTAGTCTGCCCTCTGGGACTCGAGAATATGCCACCTGCAGCTGAACACAAAGAGCCATTTAATGAAAAAAGCTTCTGCTCTGGGGCGCCTGGGTGGCTCAGTCGTTAAGCGTCTGCCTTCGGCTCAGGTCATAGTCCCGGGGTCCTGGGATCGAGCCCCGCATCGGGCTCCCTGCTCGCGGGAAGCCTGCTTCTCCCTCTCCCGCTCCCCCTGCTTCTGTTCCTGCTCTCGCTGTGTCTTTCTCTGTCAAATAAATAAATAAAAAAGCTTAAAGAAAAAAAAAGCTTCTGCTCTGGTATAATGCAGAGAAGATGGGCAAGTGATGGCAGCAACTAAGAGTTTGGGAATCCAGTGGCTTCAGCACAGGATAGTAGTGGATGAGGCCTCAGGTCACCCTTTTGCTGGAACTCACCATCAGTAGCTGCTTACGGGCCAGTGCCAACTCCTGTCCCATGGTGTCCTGCATCCTTAGGGCAGCATACAGGTTTCTCCTCTGGCTTAGTGTCGTCTGCCACAGAGAGCGAGCGCGTGAGTTTCGCCACCTGCCCCAGGTACACAGGTAGGAGCTGGATGGCTCAGTTAGCAATGGAGACCCAAACCCCATCAGTGAGGCCCAGAACCTCCATGCCAATGTCAGAAGATGGCAAACTCCTTGAAAGGGTAACTAGAACCAGCTTAGAACCTAGGATATGTTGAATATGCAGACCCTTTAATCATCATAATAGCCATGTGTCATAGATACCAGTTTCTGCATTGTACCAGAAGGAAACAAAGTGCAGCTGAGTTGCCCAAGGTCACTTAATGGCAGACGTGGGTATCAAATCCAGTCTGAGAATTAATACCCTCTGTTATACCATGATTCTCAACCTTAGCTAGACATATTCTGGAACCATTTGCTAGGTTTTGTTTTGTTTTTTAGACTTTTTTTTTTAAAGATTTTATTTATTTATTTGAGAGAGAGAATGAGATAGAGAGAGAGAGCACGAGAGGGGGGAGGGTCCGAGGGAGAAGCAGACTCCCTGCTGAGCAGGGAGCCCGATACGGGACTCGATCCCAGGACACTGGGATCATGACCTGAGCCGAAGGCAGACGCCCAACCGACTGAGCCACCCAGGCATCCCAGACTTTATTTTTAAGCAATCTTTACACCCAGCGTGGGGCTCAAACCCACAGCCCTGAGATCAAGAGGTGCATGCTCCACCAACTGAGCCAGCCAGGCACCCCAAAGTTGCTTTTTTTTATTTTTAATTTTTTTTTTAAGATTTATTTATTTATTTATTTGGCAGAGGGATAGAGAGAGAGAACAAGTAGGCAGAGAGGCAGGAAGGGAGAGGGAGAAGCAGGCTCTCCGCCGAGCAGGGAGCCCGATGCGGGGCTCGATTCCAGGACCCCGGGACCATGACCTGAGCCGAAGGCAGACGCTTAACGGCTGAGCCACCCAGGCGCCCTTAGGAAATTAGGTTATTGATAAGAATGCTTTTTTCTTGTAAATCACTAAGGCATTTGTAAACTGAGGGAAACTCCTGTCCTCCAGGACTGATCTCTGTAAGTTAGCCATTTGTTTTTCCTTTCCTTAGCTTCAGAGGAATGTCGCACAGATCCCGCCTGGGAGAGTACTTTGTCAGCTTGCCTTCTGCTCCCTCATCATCACGACCCGAGATCTCAACCTGAACCAAAACCAAGAGTCCAATTCTTAACCAACTGAGCCACCCAGGAGGCCCTTAAAGATTTTTATTTTTAAGTAATCTCTACACCCAACATGGGGTCAAACTCACAATCCCAAGATCAAGAGTTAATGCTTCACTGACTGAGTCTGCCAGGTGCCCCCTGCCCTGTTGAAATAAAAAAAAAAAAACGTTTTTACAGATGATAGAAAATTTAACCCATATAGAAATACACTAAATGAGAGGTTAGTGTATTTGGAGAGCAGTTGTGCTCTCCAAGTTCCTGTCTCCCTGCCCACACTGCCTGGATGGCCTCCCCAAATCATGACCCAGCGGCAGCCAGCAAAGGAGCCGAGCCCAGCAGGGGGTGCCACGTGGGGCCCCATGGGCAAGAGGCTACAGCAGGAGCTGATGACCCTCATGGGGTCTGAGGACAAAGGAATTCTGCCTTGCCTCAGTCAGACTTTTCCAGACGGGTGGGGACCACCATGGAGCAGCTGAAGAAGTATATGAAGACGTGAGGTAGAAGTTCTCTCGAGTTCCCCAGTGGTTCCTCTTACAATGCACCCATGGTGAAGTTCCTCACACCCCGCTACCACCCCAGTGGCCTGGACATCCTGAAGGACAAGGGGTCTGGCCTGGGTGATGTCAGGACCATCCCGCTGTCCGCCAAGAGCCTGCTAGGAGAAACCAACATTGATAACCCTTTGGTTATCGAGCTCTAGAAAAACCCATAGCCTTTAAGATGTATTGCAAGAAAGTTACTCAAAGCAGGTCTCCAGCCAAGAACCTTGTGTAGCTTCCCACCCTGTGTTGTCTTTTTATTTCTTCCTTAGATGTTCTGTCCTTCCCTTCATTTCTGTCTAGCATTTTGTTTCTTAATCTGTGATGTCATTTTTTTTGTTTTTTATTTTTATTTATTTTAAAAGATTTTATTTAATTTTTTTAAAAGATTTTATTTATTTGAGAGAGCGAGAATGAGAGAGAGAGAGAGAGAGAGAGAGAGAGCACATGAGAGGGGGGAGGGTCAGAGGGAGAAGCAGACCCCCCGCTGAGCAGGGAGCCCGATGCGGGACTCGATCCCAGGACTCCAGGATCATGACCTGAGCCAGTCGCTTAACCAACTGAGCCACCCAGGTGCCCTAAAAGATTTTAATTTGACAGAGAGAGACACAGCGAGAGAAGGAACACAAGCAGGGGGGGCGGGAGAGGGAGAAGCAGGCTTCCCGCGGAGCAGGGAGCCCGATGCGGGGCTCGATCCCAGGACCCCGGGATCATGACCTGAGCCGAAGGCAGACGCTTGACGACTGAGCCACCCAGGCGCTCCTATTTCTGTTTTTTAAATTAAGTATCTGGTTGAACCCTTGTGATGAATCTATTCAAAAAATAGACTGGGTTTAAAAAAAAAAAAGAGGGGCACCTGGCTGGCTCAGTTGGTGAGCACGTGACTCTTGATCTTGGTTGGGGTTGTGAGTTCAAGCCCCATGCTGGGTGTAGAGATGTCTCTCTCTGCCAAATAAATAAATCTTTAAAAAAAAAAAAATCTTTGGGTGCCTGTGTGGCTCAGTCGATTAAGTGTCCAACTCCTGAATCCAGCTCAGTCCTGATCTCAGGGTTGTGAGACTGAGCCCCCCATGGGGCTCTCTGCTGGGCGTGGAGCCTGCTGGTGATCCTTCCTCTCCCTCTGCTCCTCCCTCTCCCTCCCTCAAATAAATACAATGTTAACAAAAATAATTAAAACCTTAAAAAATATATACTAAATGAAAAGTGAAAGCTTTGTTCTTCCACCCCAGCTCTCAATGAAGTTGTTTCTTGTGTATATTTCCAGAAGATTTTTCTATCATATACCAGCAAGTATTACTTTTTTTTTTTCTACCATGAATTCATATGTTTATATAAGTAGTATTACTTAACAATTTGGACTTTTCCTACCAGCACATAGAGATTTGCTTCATTCTGTGTAAAGGCTTCCTAGTTTTTTTTTTTAAATGTTAGCTATTCTTTTTTTTTAGGATTTTATTTATTTATTTGAGAGAGAGAATGAGATAGAGATAGAGAGCATGAGAGGGGGGAGGGTCAGAGGGAGAAGCAGACTCCCCGCTGAGCAGGGAGCCCGATGCGGGACTCGATCCCGGGACTCCAGGATCATGACCTGAGCCGAAGGCAGTCGCTTAACCGACAGAGCCACTCAGGCGCCCGGCTTCCTAGTATTTTTGTATCATAATTTAACCAGCTAGACAGTTTCTTTTTTTTTTTTTTTAAGTAATCTCTAACCAACATCGAGCCTGAACTCAACCCTGAGATCAAGAGTTGCATGTTCTACCAACTGAGTCAGTCAGGCACCCCCTTTTTTACTTTTATAAACAATGCTGTCCAGAACACTCTTGTGTATGTACGTTCTAGAGCTTTTGCAGGTATATGGATGTAAGGTAAACTAGACATAGAGTTGCCAGTTCCAAGGATGTGTGAATTTTGAGATCTTAAGTTTTGATAGATTTTATCAAATTGTCTTTGTAAAAAGGCTGCATCAATCTGGACCCCCACTAAAATTATATGCAGTTGCTCCCTCACATCCTTGCTGGCTCTCGGTATAACCACCTGCGAAACCTTTAAAAACAGGCTTATCCTACCTGATCCCAGACCACTGTAGTCAAAATCTTCTGGGTTAAGACCCGAGCACATGTGTTTTAAAAAGCTCCCAGGTAATGTATGGTGATTAACATTTAAAAAAAAAAAGCTCCCAGGTGAAGGAGAGACATACAGCCTCATCTTCTCATTCACTCAAAAAATACTTACCGCATACCTATCACGATTAATACAATAAATACTTGCATTCTACTTAAAAAATAAAAGAACAAAGACTTGATCTGATTTTCCTTCAAACAGGAAGAGAGACAATAAAAGCAGTGTGTGGGTAGCACGACCTAGTGGGCACTGGGAGGCTGTCCCTGAAAAGGGCCGCTTCCTTCCCCCGCACACCCGTTTCCTTCCCGAGCCCCAGACAAGGATGAAGTGTATCTGAGCGGTGGCTGGGGGGAGGGGAGGACGACACGTGGGTGACAAGGTCAAGCTGAGGGGTGAGGGAAGGGGTAGAAGCAGAAGTTACCTGTCAACCATCTTCTTAAATCCCGGGACCCTTTGAAAACTCTGCAAGAAAAGCAAGTTGCTCGTCTGCCTTGACGTCCAGCACCCCATCCCCAGCACCTTTCCCGTGGGCCTCTCTTCTTGACAGGGAACGGCACTTCCCAGGGGAAGTGAGGGCAAGAGTGCGACTCCTTTCAGAACGGACCAAAGAACACATGCCAGGAGGAGCTGCGAGCAGTTACATCGTGGGCCCCTCAGGAAACGGTCTGCTTCTGGCCAACCCAGCCCCCTTCCAGCCCTGCACACCTCTTCGACTTTTGTCGTTTTTTCCACAGACATGTCCACAAGCTGACGGGACGCAGGCTCAGGACGAGAAGCAGGGTCTCCCTTCTGTCCAGTCGGTCACCCAGGATTCAGTAGTCATAGCAACACATTCACCTCCAACAACAACCCTGGACCTAGAACTTGATTGGTCACCTGGCCTGTTGCCCTGGAGACCTGAAGCGAATCCTGGTTCTCCTGCTTCTATTAGTGACACAGGCACTTCCAGGAGCAAGGACCAGAGTCCCAATTTTAGGGTTTCTTCTGTGGGGTCCCTGTATGATCGTGGGTCCAAAGAACATATCCTACGCCCGTTTCATTAAAAGGCAACTGCAGGGCACCTGGGTGGCTCAGTCGGTTAAGCATCTGACTCTTGATTTTGGCTCAGGTCATGATCTCAGGGTCATGAGATCCAGCCCCATGTCATGCTCTGAGCTCAGTGGGGAGTCTGCTTCTCTCTCTGCCCCTCCCCCTGCTCGTGCACATGTGCGTTCTCTCTCAAATAAATCTTTAAAAAAGAGGCAACTATAAAGAAATGAATCATTTTTTTTGTTCATTTTATTAAATAATCTAGAATGTCAGACCAGTGCATTGATCTGACTTTTCTTCACTGTCCCACAGCATCCCCAGGAAGTGTGGGGGGATGGGATTATGTCAAATGCCAACATTCCCTTTTCCATTCATTCAAGACAGTATGGAAAGAAAGCCTAAGGGCAGATCCTTGCATGTCAGGGAAGTTGTGTTAGTGTTTCCACACACGCTGGATTAAATGGAGCACCGGCAAGCTGTTCCATGTAGCATGCATGGCCTCACTAGACCTCCCCGCCAGCTTGTGTCTGCCTGTCCTACCAATCACTTCTAAGATGTTTCAAACCCAAACGTCCCCATTCATCTATGTATAAAGGGGCAGACATGGAAGACATCAGGCCCTGCCACCCCAACTCTCACTCTTAGGATTATTTATAGTGGAAAAGGGGGAAAAAAAGAGGCAGATGAACTACAATCAAAACCAAGTGAGGATTTTTAAGGAAGCATTGATGGAAACATTAAGAAAAACACCTGAATTCAACTCCCAAAAAAAGTGTTACCAAGGGAAAATAAAGTCCTGATTCTCGGAAATGGGCTGTAAGAACAAGCTGGAGAATGATTCTCTAGGCATGAACCTTACGAGCTCCGGACACCGTGGCATTTCAGCTGACCTGGACCCACCAGCCAGATGACCCAAGGCTGCTGACCCCTCCAGCAGCCTGGCAGCGTCCATCAGCCCGTCACAGAGTGCTTTCCAGGGTGTTATAGTTGTCCTTAAAGCTCTTCAGTTCAAGGAAGTGTTTGGCACGTTTACTCTTCTGACTGGAGGGGAGGTATGTCACCTGGATGGTTGTGGGGGAGACTTCAGGAGACTGGGTTAGGTCTTTGGCTGCCGACTGGTGCTGTCTCTGAGAGTTCCCACTTCGTGCTTTGACCCTGGAGAATAGAGAGGGCAGCTCCAGGACAGAACGAGGACTGACACAAGAACACAACTCAAGGCTCACCCGTCCTGTAAAGCCGCCAAGACCCCTGTCCTTGTTCTGTCTTACCAACTAGTTACTAAAACCCCACCTGATAGGCTACAAGTAGCAGAGAAACCAATTTTCCCATTGAGTCCCTGCCTCTGGCTCAACATTTTCTTCATCTCACTATAAAGAAAACTTTAGGGGTGCCTGGGTGGCTCAGTTGTTAAGCATCTGCCTTCGGCTCAGGTCATGGTCCCAGGGTCCTGGGATCGAGCCCCACATCGGGCTCCCTGCTCTGCGGGAAGCCTGCTTCTCCCTCTGCCGCTCCCCCTGCTTGTGCTCCCTCTCTCGCTGTCTCTGTCAAATAAATAAAATCTTTAAAAAAAAAACAAGTTTTAATTCTGCTGAATTAAATGCATGTCACTAACATACTCCCAGCCCAAAAACAGTCCCTTGAAAACTGAACACCAAAAAACAAGAACAGAAGTAGCTATTGAGTACTTAAGACATGTTAGGACATTAAATTTGGTGTTTTATCAAATATTGATATCCCAATATCTCTATATGGTGGTAACATCCCTATTTTCCAGGTTCAGAAACTGAGAGCCCCCTTGCCTGAGGTCACAAAGCTATTAAGTGACAGAGTTGGGGTGCAAATCTGTCAGATTTCAGAGCCTATCCTCATTAGACTCACTGAAACTTTCTAGAAACCAGAAATCAAGGACTGAATTTTTTTTTTCAATTTTATTTTATTATGTTATGTTAATCACCATACATCATTAGTTTTTGATTCAAGGAGTGAATTTTTATTTTATTATTTTTTTAAGTTCATTTAAGTAATCTCTACACCCACTGTGGGGCTTGAACTTGAACTCACGACCCCAAGATCAAGAGTCCAGCACTCAGGGCACCTGGGTGGCACAGTCAGTTGAGCGTCTGACTCGGTTTCTGTTCAGGTCATGATCTCGGGGTCCTGGGATCGAGCCCCACATTGGGCTCCATGCTCAGCTTGGAGTCAGCTTGAGGTTCTCTCTCCCTCTCCCTCTGCCCCTCCCACTCATGCCGTTTTTCTAAAATCAATCTTAAAAAAAAAAAAAAAAAAAAGTCACACGCTCTTCCAACTGAGCCAGCCACAGGCACCACTATTTTTTAAGTAAGCTCTATGCCCAAAGTAGGGCTTGAACTCATGGCCCCAAGATTAAGAGTTGTGTGCTCTACCGACTAAGCCAGATGCCCCAGAAGGGCTGAATTTTTATTTTTTAAAAAGATTTTACCTATTTGAGAGAGAGAACACAAAAGCAGGGGGAGAGGCAGAGGGAGAGGGCGAAGCAGGGACACCTGGGTGGCTCAGTCAGTTGAGTGTCTGCCTTCAGCTCAGGTCATGATCCCAGGGTCCTGGGTTTGAGCCCCACATCGGGCTCCCTGCTCAGCGGGAGCCTGCTTCGCCCTCTCCCTGTATCCCTCCCCGCTGCTTGTGCGCACGTACCCACCCCCTCACACTCTCAAATAAGTAAAATCTTAAAAAAAAAAAAAAAAAAAAGATTTTAGAGAAAGAGAATGAGTGTGTGCACACACATGGGTAAAGGGCAGAGGAAGATGGAGAGAATCTCAGGCACACTTCCCGCTGAGCAAAGAACCCAACGTGGGGCTCGATCTCATGACCCTGAGATCATGACCCAAGCCGAAAACAAGAGTCAGATGTAATTACCTGACTGAGCCACCTAGGTGCCCCCCCAAAGACTGAACGTTTAACAAAACTGTGGAAAGATACACACAAGATTTACCATCTCAGCCATTTTTAAATGTTTACAGTCCAGCACTGTTAAGTACATTCACATTCCCACCATCTCCAGAGCTCTTTTCATGCTGCAAAACTGAAGCTCTGTCCCCATTAAACCCTAACCCTCCAGCCCCTGGCACCCACCGTCTCCTTTCTGAATTTGATGACTCTAGGGACCCCAGATGAGTAGAACCAGAAGGTATTTGTCTTTCAAAGAAACTGTACTTTGAACAGGCTCCCTAAGTGACTTCCAGACTAAGCACCCTTCTCATCCTCTCCCTGTTCACTTTCACTCCTATTCCAAGCCGTTTTTACTGGACCTTTTGTTTTTGGAACAAAGTAGTTTATTTTTAAGGACACAGATAAGAGAGGACAGACATACCCCTTATCTTTTGAGAAAGAGCCATATTCAACACAGCAGAAAACAGAGGCGGTTCTTTTCAAGGCCAGTAACTAACTTTTTATTCTACTTGGGCTCCCCCTGTCCACCCTTTCAACATTTGCATAAACACCACCATGAAGCTATGTTAATAGCGCACGTTTAAAACAACGCCAGACAAAAGTTGGGATTCCAGTAACACACTCAACAGCTAATACTACAGTGAGGCCCTTAGTTTCATGTGGAGTTCCTAATGCTATAAATGCTAATAAAAATGGATGGCACTTAATTGTTACTTTTATCAAACTAAGACATACAAGGAGGACACTGAAACCTTGGAAGAGAAAGAAATCTTTATACTGAAAAACTTCATTCCCTCTATTGATATAAATGTTACGCCACTTCTGACATTTTACTCACCTGGACTTAAAAAAAAAAAAAGAAAAAAGAGGGGGCACAGAAGTAGGAGGCATCTCCCTCTGCAAGCCTGTAAAGCAGCACATGCTTTCAGATGTGAGGGACAACAGGAAGGGACAGCTCGCCACCGTGATTTTGTTAATGCTGCTTATGAAGGGCATCTTGCTGGGGGGGGGGGGCAGCACTACCGTACTCTCCAACCAGCCCCTCCAACATATTCCCCTTCAAACTTACACAGTGGCCAACTCACTCAGGGCCTCCTGGTAGCGCAGGTACTCACTCTGGCCAAAGACCTGAGGAAAGAGGAAGGATGAGAGTCCCTCAGGCCGGGATATCCCTTTAGTTCCCGGAAGGAAAAAGTGGCCATCCAGCTTACCCCCGTCCCATAGCGGGCTGTCTCATAGCCATCCAGCAAGGTATCAATGAGGGCCTTGCGCACACCCTTAAAAGGAGTACTAGTGTTCCGAAGATCTAGCAGGTAGGAGCGGAAATTCTTGCCCATTAAGGAACGGGGATGCCTGCCTTCAGCATGAAATGGTATCTCTGTGGAGATAATAGATAACAGTGTTAACACTTCTCCCGTTTATCAGTATTTCTAGTTTACCTTCCAAATTTAGAAATGGGTCCAATGAATGAATTGGGGGGAAATTCTAACAGATGAAGAAGACCACAGATACAGAGCTGTGTCTGAGTGGTCACTTGGTGATGGCAACATAGCTATAAGCTACACTAATGGTAAACAATAGTGTCTCTGTCCAATTCACACTCCTACTTACTCATCCTGGCTCTGAAATATAAACCATATTTTAGCAGAGATGAAGCATATTTGACAATGGTCATAGAACAGAAAAAACTCAAGAACCATTTATCTTGGTTTTACTGAAAAAGCGGGATGTCACCTGTCTTCTGTGGAAAAGCAAGCAAATCACCACCATCCAGTTAATGAAACTAAAGGTCTAAAAAAAACCCCACTCATTGAAGAAGAAATAATGTGCCTCCATCATTTCTTTAGACAAAATAACCTAGTACTCTCAAAACTCTAGGAAATTCCTCCTAGCCAGAGACGTACAGAAAGGACAAATTCTAATATATCTATAAAGTGGGTTCCTCCCTCTTCCCCAGGTGAGCTTTCAGGATCCTGAATGTCCTGTCAAGTCGCCCTTACCAGAGGCACGGATGGCATCCAGAGCTTTCATCCTGTATAGATAGTTGTAGCAATCTGTTGAAAGAGAGACTGGTCGTAGACATGACCCTCAGATTTTCCAAACCTCAGCAAGCTAATAAACTGCCTCCCCGCATCTGACATATACCCAGCAACAGAGGCATCACAGGTGTGGGTTTTGCCAGCAGCTATGCTCACAGCTCGGAGAGCAAAGGAATTCTGAACTTGTGGGATTCCTCACTGAAGTCCCCTCCAAGCGCATGCCACGTACTCTCATTTCCCTGGGTTTCTAGCTGTAACAGTCTTGCATCACCATCTGCAAGGAGCTGAGGTTCATACTTGATATCTTGAACCCTGGATAGCCGGATATCAATCTCCTCTTTTAAGTCCTGTTCACACAGAGGAAAGAATATGCAATCACTAACCCATACTCCGCTTTCTATCGACCTGGAAATGGGGCAGAGTTAAGTGAACAACCAAGACAAAAGCAGCAGAAAAAATGCTCATATGGTTGATAAAATTGCGAGGTAAGACTAAAAAATTTAAGGATGGGATTAGGTTCTCTAAAAACTTCTCTCAACTGTACATTTCTAAGCTAGATCTTTTAACCCACCAGAATTTCTTCAAGTTCCACAGCATCATTATTTCTGACTTAACAGGGTTTAAAATGTTAGGTGTCATAAAGAACTTCCAGAGAGGGCGCCTGGGTGGCTCAGTTGGTTAAGCGACTGCCTTCGGCTTGGGTCACGATCCCGGAGTCCTGGGATCGAGTCCCACATCAGGCTCCCGGCTCGGCGGGGAGCCTGCTCCTCCCTCTGACCTTCTCCCCCCTCATGCTGTTTCTCTCTCTCTCTCAAATAAATAAATAAAATCTTAAAAAAAAAAAAAAAGAACTTCCAGAGAGAGAAAAAAATGGACAGCAACCGGAAGTCATACTCTAAAAATCTGTAAGAGGCCTGTATATGACTTATAATAGCTTGGGGACTACCCTACCTGGTAGACCACAGAACTTCTAAAAGCTTTCTTCTAGAGTACATTAAATCTTTTAAGTAGATAATTCATATCCATGGTGTAAAATTCAAAAAAGGTACTAAAGCCACCCCTCACTTATCCAGAAGAGATCACTGTTAACAGTTCCAAGTTCATCTCTCTTACCTAAGAGGGTTGCCAGAGCCCCAGCAGATTTTCTTCTTGTAACGTTTTATTTTTAAATAGGTTCTACACCCGACGTGGAGGCCAACGTGGGGCCCAAAGTGGGGATTGAACTCAGAAGCCCGAGATCAAGACCTGAGCTGAGATGAAGAGTTAGAGGCTTAACTCAATGAGCCCACCAGGTGCCACTTCTTGGTACTTTTTAGAAACTTCCACTGTGAAATGTATTATACATGGAATACATGTTACATACATTTTAAGTAATTATAAAAATCGTTAAGATGGGGTGCCTGGGTGGCTCAGATGGTTAAGTGTCTGCCTTCGGCTCAGGTCATGATCCCAGGGTCCTGGGATCGAGTCCCGCATCGGGCTTCCTGCTCCTTAGGAGCCTGCTTCTCCTTCTGCTTCTCTCTCTGTCTCTCATGAATAAATAAAATCTTTAAAAAAAAAAAAAAAAGACTCTAAAAATCGTTAAGATGAAATCTATATTCACTATCCTGTTTATGAACTAGAATGTTATCAATGACTCTGAAGCCTTGTGTGCCTATCTCTGATTGAATGCAAACCCCAATCTTAATTTGTTCAACAATCTTGTTTTTCTTCAGTTTTATCACATTATCAATCTATCAATCTAAACAAGATGTTTAGCTTTGCCTGGTTTTGAACTTTACACAAATGGAAAAGTATGTTTTAAATTCCTTTGCAACTTGTCTTTTAAAATGTTAAACGCTTGGGGCGACTGGGTGGCTCAGTCCGTTAAGCATCTGCCTTCGGCTCAGGTAATGGTCCCACGGTCCTGGGATAGAGATCTATGTCGGGATCCCTGCTCAGCGGGGAGCTTGCTTCTCTCTCTCCCTCTGCTGCTCCCCCTGCTTGTGTGCTCGTTCTGTCAAATAAATAAAAAATCTTAAAAAAAAAAAACTTAAATACTTACTTAATTACAATAGGTTGAACTTACAAGTGATAAAATGCATCCAATTTGTGTGGATTGATGAGTTCTGACAAATGAATACACCTACTCAACCACCATTACAACCAAGACAGAGAACACTTCCATCACCTCAAAATAGTCTTCATATCCCTTTGCAGTCAACCTCTCCTTCCCTGCTCCAGGCAACAATTATGCACTTTCTTTTGATATAGTTCTGCCTGTTGCACAATTTCATATAAATGGAATGGAACAAAATGGTAGATACTTTTTTATGAATGGCTTTCTGGTTTTTTTTCACTCAGCATGTTTTTGAAATTCACTCAGGTTTGTGACTTTTTCATTCAAAAATGCTTTAGTGTTTCGTGTTCAAATATTTATGTTGCTTAGCGTACTTTTAAACCTTATAGTATTCCAGAATACGAGTATATCATTATATATTCTCGAGTAGACATTTGGACCAACAGTTTCCTCTTGAAATATCACAATCACTGAAATGAACACTCTTATACACGTCTTCTGGTACATCAGCAAAAACTAATTTCTTTATGCTAACAGTGGAACTGCTGCACTATGGATTAGGTACATGTGCAATCTTACTAGATAATGCCCAATTATTTTCCAAAGTAGTTTTACTCATTTGCACTTCCAGCAGCAATAAATGAGAATTCAGATGAGAGGATTTTTTTAAAGAAGGAATCTTATCTCATCTGGTCCAGAGAGCTCCTAAATAATCCAAGTTTTGATTGGATCATGATGTGCTGGAAGCCAACCCTATATCCCTCTGATGGAGGGCAGGTGGCATTTGGTGAACTGAGGGAACGTGGAAGCTCTGTTGAGGTTTTAGGCCACAACACCTTCCTTAAGGTTTTCCATCAACTACCTCAGCAAAGAACAACAAAAAAGGAGGATTAATAGCGCTGGTCGATGGCAGAACATTGATCTAGGACTTGAGGGAACCGTGTGGTAGCTCTAATTCTCCCACGAGCCTGCTTGTCGTTCAACAGCAAATTACTGGATACCTGCTATATGTAGGCCCTGGCTTTACCGTGGTGAACAGAACTGGCACAGAGCCTGCATTCTTGAGGCTTACAGTCTAGTGGGCGCTGGACATTAAACAAATCGACGGACATAAAAGAAAATTGGTGGTAAACGGTATCTAGAAAAATATCAGGACACTGTGAGAAAATAAAAGAGAGCACCTACTTTGAAACAGGTAACAGACATTCTTCTCTGGGGAAGAAGAGCATGTGAGCTAAGCTCTAAAGAGCAAACAGCTACAGGCAAGAGAAGCCTGGAGGAGGTCACTCCGTAGCACAGCGGCCGCACGCGTGAGCGCTGGACTCTAGCCCGTCGCCGGACGCCGGCTGCGCGCCGGGATCGCCGACCGCCGTGCAAGCCGGTGGGGCGGCTGGGGGCCCCGAGACTGCGGCCCACACCGGCTCGTCTCCGACGCCGGGCCGACGCGGACACGCCACGAAGGCAGCCGGACGTACACCCGCGGGGCTCCCTCCCGCACGCACGGAATTCGGGAAAGATTAAAAAAAAACGTGCTTTAAGATTTTATTTATCTGTCGGAGAGCGAGCGGGAGCGGGGCAGGCAGGCGGGACGAAGGGCCACCCGGCACTCGCGCTCCGCGTCCCGGGGTCGGTCGGAGGCCCTCGCCAACCTCAAGCTCCGCACGGCGGCCCTCCGCACTCAGCCCCGGCCCCGGCCCCTACGGGAAGGCCTGCGCAGCGAACACGACGTCGGACCGGGGCCCTTTCCAGGCGCGGCCGTCGCAATCCAGGCCCTCACGCCGCAGGCGCAAGCACCGACGTTCCCGGGGACAGCGCGCGGCGGGCGGCGGGCGGCACGGACCCGGGCCCGCGCTGAGCCGCCCCGCCCCGCCCCGCCGTCCCCCCACGGGAGGAGAGCCGCGCCCACCTCGCGCCCCGAAGACCTACCTTGGGGGCGTTGTGTCCCACGGGGACGTGAGGCCCCCTCCGCGATTTCATCGCGAAGCGCATGATTTGCCTCTTCACAAAAATAAAGAGCAGGACAAACACCTGCGTCCGAGAGAAACGAGAGAAGCGATCTTGAACCAAAAGGCCGTTTAAAGGAAGGGGCACGCCTCCGCTGCCAGCGCCCGCATGCGGCCCTCAGGGGTGCGGTGGGCCGGGCTGGCGCGGGGACCGGCAGGGGTGCGGTGGGCCGGGC